CAAAACACTGTTAGCGATTGTTTTTCGTTTTTCCATTGCTATTTTTCGTTTATTTTCGTTGTTGTTCTTCGTTTTTTGAAAGAGCTCTTTAAGGAATCTCGCATTCCGGCCACTCTGTGTGGTTATGAAGAGCTCTTTCAATCGGTACCGTTCGGCTAGTGAAAATCCTTCGCGTGTGTAGGGTCATCCACTGTTTACTAACGGATGAATCAATCGTTATTTTTTTGCATAATGGAATTTGAGTCACTAGTAATGGCGAGGTATTCACTAGCTAGGCGGTATTCGATTCCACCTGATTTCCAGTTGCAACCAGAGGTCGAGGTTGTCAGTGTTTTCGCAAGAATTGGGCGGGTTTGGAGAGGTGTTTGTGCTAATCGAATGACAGCCATCGCTCTGGTGCTTTGGGTAGTAAATGGCTTGTCAGCTCGGAATAGTCAGGGCTGATAAGACGTCTTTTACCCGAAGATACGTTGAACTGGGAGTCGGGCTTTTCTTTTCTGGGGTCCCTGGTCGCGAAACGGCACTCCGGCACCCGTCTAGCGGTCAGTGGTCCCCCTTCCAAAACGATCAGGGCGAGGTAGTCGCGACGTTCATTTTTAGAATTTTTAAATTCCCGCCCCTGGAACGAAGCCAGTTGTAAAGTAGTGTAAGGTTACGAATATTGAAACGAAGCCAAATTCACATTGTTTATTCCTCTTATTCATTTATTCCTGGAAATGAGGTGGAATCGAATACCTATCTTAAGATTGAACTCTAGGCTTGAGCTATTGTCTAGCCCCAGAGTTACACTCATATTTGCGATCAAGCCCTGGAAACTTCCCCACCCAGCAGTATTTCATACTGTACCAGATTTTCCAACGCCCTTATGGGACCCGTTAGAAATACCATAGTTTTATGTTTTGCGATCTTTTAAAAATGTATTTATCATCTTTCTTCCATTTCAATTTCAGTTCATCCTTCAGCTAAAGGATGGAAACTGCATTATGACAAATCACCAGTTAGTATTAGATTGACACCACTGAGGTGTTTTTTTTTTCAAGGGATAGGATTACCGGAGAATCCGCTTGCTTCTCTCAAATACAGCTTAATAGATCAACTCGGATCACTTCTTAAGAACAGTCTCCTCAAGAAACAGAACAGGAAATCACCGCGAACGCAATCACATAGTTGATTCGTAACATGACTGCATGGAATAGCAGGACTGAAGGTCAATTTGAATAATTTGTGAAACTGAAAGATTTTCATCTTCAGGTGAATTTCATTTCACTTATTCTGCATTATGTATAGCGTTTGCACCATCAGTAATGTTGTTATTTCACTTTCAGGAGCTTAGCTCAGATAAATTATAGTAACGATCATCAAATCATTTTTTTAAATTCTCCCAATATTCATGAATTAGATGTCACAATCATTGACGAGAACCTCGCGAGCGCACGATCAAAATGTCAACTGAAATTCCATTAGGTTCGGCAGGTTAAACATCGACGAGCATAAACAAAAATGTGTGCCTTCGTGAGTACGGAACGAATGCACCTAATTTCGCGTGCTTCATTGTTCATCATAATTACCAAGCAAAAGATTGAACGATTGCTTATGAACAAATTGTATGATCACATTACTTGTCAAAGACTTGCAAACCAATTCTCAGGGAAATGTGGATGTGCTGACGAGAATATATCATGCGAGCAAAAATTACTTATTTGTAGTTGCATAATGTTTGAGCTATGAATGAACAAAAGCCCTTTCAATGTTTTCGATCACATGAACGATGCGTAATCGCCCTCACATCAGACAATTACCACTCATGACCGTTTCAATTGATGTCTGTCTGTCGGGGAACAAATACCACAGAAATGGACTTATGATCAAAGTGCTCGAGTTGTGAGCATTCGACCTACAAACATCTACAGATAAGAGCATTCTCACAGACAAATGAAATAGCCCGAATGTACTTGCACATTCAATGCACTGCAAAAGGGATAAATCGGGGTTCTTTGCGTCGATGATACTAAAATCATGGAACACTAATTGTGAACTATCAATGTACATAATAAGAGCTCTTTATATTTAACTGATAAACAATTCAACTTACGAAACTCAGATGGAGTGTATTCCATATGTAAGTTGGAAAGTTGTGTACTTCCAAGGTTGTAAACACACGATTAGGTGCAGAAAACATAACATCAACACGGGCAAGTGTACAGTGACAGTCAAATCATTCCTGAAAAGTCCATGAACAGTGATGCCAATGAAGAACGGTACACAATAAGCTGTGTCAGCATCTTTAAAACAAGCCACTGTTTCTTTTATAAATACAACTGTCTGAGTGGCATAGCTGAGTGTGCGAGCTTCGTTGCATTGTCGAACACTGCTCTTCAAAACTCGTCTGTTCGATCATATCAAATCATCCTAAACAATGGTCAAATATAGTCATACGACTACCCATAGTAAAGATTTATCGTGCTCTAATATAGCGTCAACTAATACACCATGGAAAAGGTTTGTGGACTTCGATCCTTCTCACACTCTATCAGATCCATTTCTATTTAGTTCGTGAATATGAGTTTCTGAGACTGTGCAAATGATTTTTGGAAAATTCCATTCATTGAATGCATTGCTTCAGTCCGATATCTGCGATAACTGAATTCGAATCGAGGAAGTCGCCATGGCGATCGATATGGCTTTGCAATGCGCTTCAACTTCTGGATGGAATTCAATTCTCCATTTTCTTCTCTTCCATGTTACCCTATCTGCGAGCAGTGAGTTTTCGAGTATTATACTGATCACAGCGAGTGATCATCTGATCAACTCGGCAATATTGCTATCATATACCATCACCTTCTATCATCTGCAAAATGTCTGCTTCATTCCGCCTTTGATTTCTGAACATGGCATTGACAAACACTCAGGTTTTGAAAACGTCTTTATGTTCTGAAGTGTTTCTGATTTTTTACAGCTTGATCCAACTGCACCTTTGGCTTTTTACGGGTGGATAGTGGCAGTATTTCCACTCGGCCAAACGATCGCATCGTTCTTGTTCGGCATTTGGAATCAAAAAACGAAATCTGCAAAGTGGCCTGTCGCAATTGGTATTACATTGATGGGAATAGGTAATTGCATATATGGAACTTTGCCGTTATATCAGTGTGATTACAAATGGATCATGCTGATGGCACGATTCATCGTTGGCTTTGGAGCAGGTCCGTTTCTTATACCGAGACCGTATTTGCAAATAGTTCACAGTTGATCAATCTTGTTCATCTTCACATTTCATCGATCCATACTATCTTCTGATGTAATTCTTTGTTTCTGTTTACTGTTTCGGCAGATTACTTCATCAACAGCCTATAAAAGGTACACATAATGATATGATACTCAGTTATTGCGGTATTCACAATCACCGCTTCGGCTTTAAACGAGTAAATATGTCTTCATCATCAGCAAAAAAATCAATTTTGTTTGGGTTATTCATTTTGTCAATGAACTTTTATCTTTTATCCAACAATACACTAATGATTGGCTGAACACAAGCGTTAATCGCAGACAAATATTGACGAGTGAACACATTACCATTAGGTAAACACTAGTGATACCTGCCATAACAGCTTTGAAATTTTCGTCGCTAAATGAATGCACTCAAACTGCACGCATCTCTCACTCCCTTATCGATGTGAACTGTAATATAAATGCCGGTGCTGGTGCATGATACGCTCATCATTCTGTACATTACTTCATTGACGTAGAGAAGTTGTAGTTTAAAAATGAAACAAATGTTATCGAAAGCAACAGATTCCTTTTACAGGTAACCTGAGTGTGCTACGTACTTATGTTGCATGTGCATCAACACCAAGAGATAAAATGAAGGCACTGTCGTTGGGTATTGGAATGTACAATTTTGGTTTCTGTATCGGACCCGCTGTTATGGTTCGATTTCACATCTGATCCAATAATTTAAACGCTTCATATCCTTCATTCAATAAATTCACATTAATTCGAACTTTTTTGATGAAATTGAGCCGAAGATCCTGTACTGCTGATGCTGATAGCAGGTTTTTGAAAAGTAAAATGGCATTCAAAGAACAGACTCGATGTACACCGAGGAGACCAAACTGATTAGCTCTCGAATTATCAATCTTGAACTTGAAGCTGGTCTTCACTCCGCTCGGAAAGGATGGATTTCGGTTGGGTTGGTTTCCAGTGACAATGTACAATTCGCCAGCCTTTGCGATGGTCATTGTCTCTATCATATCACTTTTAGTTCTGTTCACTTGCTTTCAAGAAGAATATGCTGGAATCATTAATAATGATCAAAAGAACGAAAATACCATCTCAAAAGGTTTGTCGCTTATGGGGTATTGACGTATTAGGTGGTGCATCCCTGATGCTTTAAGCAATACGAAAGATAGGAATTGACTAATTTTATGAATCCCGTAATGTGGGTAATAAGACGTGTCCATGCGAAATCAGAGCAAGAAATACTTAATTTATTAATTGCAAATCAATAAGATGAAATAGTAAATCTAACAAAAATGGGCGCCTTTGATTAGATCTAGCTTCAGATCAAACCTCATCTGTCGTCGTACCGAAGTTCAATAAGTTGGCTGCGATTATCTGCATCGCTGTTTGGTTTGTGCACCAATGTATTTGTACAAATTTTGAAGTGTGAGTTTATCCGGCATTCTGCAGGAGTTTCTGGCTATGCATCGATCGATAACTTATCTAATTAAAGTTTCAAACTCAGTATGGGAAACGGAGAATTCAACATTGCTTTCTCTAAGATAAGCAAGAATTCAAGATTGGCTGTGAAATTGCAAGCACAAATTACAATATTAATAAGATGTTCACTCAGTGCATCAATTATATTCATGATTTTTGCCAAAAGCCATACATCTATCAGAAAAAGCATATTACATCGTATCGATTTACCTGTTATGATCACAACTATAACTTAAACAGTGACAAGCGAGCTAGGTCATCGTATCAGTCTCATTAATTTTTATGCGTGATTTATCAACATTAGATGATAGGCGATAATTGTAGATTAATGGTACCAACGACTATGTCCGCATACAACTGGAATAACGAGCAGGCAATCTTAAATACTGGTTTCCTCGTTTTTGCTTCAGCTGGAGTTACTTCTTTCGTTTCTTTTATTTTGGGTTGTACGAGAATTGGGAAGATGTAATGTTCTTAATTCATACTTTCTTCGTCGATTTTGATATCTCATAACAATTTTTTTGATCACAGGAGACAACAGTAACTGACTGTGAAAACAGTCAAATAATTCTACTGGTTCACGTTTGGAAACCTCACGAATGCTCTTCTAATTCATGAAAGTGGCATTTTCTAATCATTAATGATCAAGTTGTCATGGAGAATGCTTTCAGAGATAGAAGAATACTGCTTGGATTCGGAATAATTATATTCATGTTCTATCATCTCCTCATCATTCCTTGGCCTTTCTATAGCGGACCATTGGACTACATGCCACTAGGTTAGCTAACTCTTATCATTACAAATTTTGATGTTATGACGAGTAAAATCAATTATTCAGTTAGACTTACTGTTTATCATATCTGAAGTATTCAGGGATTGTATTATAACTGACGTTCTCATTTCAGTCGGTAATTCAACCGATGCGAGTCGTTTTGGTGGTTGTCTTCGAGCTTACGAATGGTGTGCGCACACAACGCGGGTCCCTCTATCTTTGTATATATTTTCAAATGTGGTTCTTGCCGGAGTCGCGTTTCCACTGGTTGGCACCCCATGCGGCGCGCTTTTCGCTGAAATACTCGGTCCCAGGAATCAGGTTGCACTAAAACTCCCATTGCTGAGAACAGCTAAATCTTGCATCGCTAATGTAACTTACAGTAATGACCAAGAGAAATTGATGAGGCAATTGCTACTTGCTAAATTCACCTAAGTAGAATGTCATATTCAGGGTTTTATGCAAGGTTCGTTCGCTTTCTTCGGTAGCATTGGGCGATTCGCTGCACCGGTCGTTTCAACGTGAGCGCTTTGGTGATATGTTTTGCAAATGTTGATTCATGTTCTAGTTGATGATATTTGAAGTTCTTTCCTGTAAAGGATATCATAAGAAATAATTTTTAGATACCTATTCGAAAGCGGTGGTTATTTGACTCCAACGGTAGTGATAGTGGCATTTTTGATCGTCACACTAGCTACTGTGACCGTTTTTCGCCGTAAACTCGTTCCGTTACGCTTAATTCCTCCGATTGGTATCGCGACACCCTACAAGACTGGATTCTTCTATCGACTCTAACATTTCAAGGTTTTCAAAGTTCATCGGTGATTGTTTCCTCTCATTTTCACCACTTCGATCTAGCTTCAAAAAGCCTTCTGAACCAAATCCAATCCAGTGATTCATACGCTCTCAGTTCCCCCGCTCTTCGTTGGCCGCATGACCATTCACCCCAACCAACAACCTATGTGACCACAACTGCACTCTGCTCTGATGATTTTTTACGTATTAGTGACATTTCAGAAGAGAATCGAGAAATTTATCCAGAGTTGGGAGGTTTTCCGTAGAGAAATCGTCGGTGGTGTCGAAGAAACCAACTCGTTGTGATCCAAAAAGTATTTTAAAGATGTCATTACACAGCTTTGAAAGGCTTATAACAAACAAAGCAATCAGTAGTGATCTACCACTCTCCCCATTTCGTTCCTGCCACTCTCAAAGAAATGAACTGTTGTATGTGTCACCCAAAAGCGTCCGGGAGAATAATTCCATCATCTTCGTGAGTTGTGGCGAAGAAAAAGCTGAGAGACAGAAACGGGGACCCCTGANCATGCGTATAATATTTTTGATTCGTGATATAATCAGTTTCATGGCGTTACGCTTGTTGTATTATTGTACCGTGAGGTGAAGTAAACAAGATTTGTTTTTAAAAAAATGCAATACGCGACTTGAATAAAACGAAACAAAAGAACAACATCAACGAAAGAGTTGAGTCAAAACTGAACATTCTAAATTTTTTAACAATCATTCCAATGAGCTCATTTCTTATTCTTCGCAGCAAGCCGCTATTGATCACTAACGATCATTCACGACTATGAACTGCCACTCCAACCGATAACTCACTCAGACATTGAAACTGAAAACGTGGACATCATTCACTTCCACGCTTGAGTAAATTTTCGAACTGTCACGGAACCAACAGCCAAATCAGCTGAAAAAAACTTATATGTTACTGGGGAAACTTGAGAAGGAGCAGGCTCGAAAATGGCAAACCGTATAGCATTGAGTATATGGCTATACCTCCTCATCTAAACATAATTTTTCAGCGAAACATGTGATATTCTGAACTTAGAGATTCTGAGCAATCGAATGGTGCAAACACATTCAATTGTTACGGGGCAAGCTTGAGAGCACGGGTACCTTGAAGATGGTTACCCTCTCAAACCTAGCTTGACACGTATATTTACCTACAGTGATCAGTAGTATATGAGCAGAGATTACGGTACGCCCAAAGATGGGAAACCGTATAGCGTTGGGAAAATAGCCATATTTTCTCAGGATTGAAGAATTGCTCAACAATATCTACGTTTTTCTGAATGTAGAGATCCAGCCGGAACAAATGCTTTCCAGAGTAACTATAGCCATTTACATAGATCTATCGCAATTCGATAGCGCAGTCGCGCTCATTCATACAAATTGATCACTATAGAGCAATCAATACGATTAGCTCGAAGATCGCAAACCTCATCTTCGAGCTAACCGTCTCCTCAGGTTTGCCCGGAAACATGCCAATTTCTTTTCACCGTTTGATCCAGCAGAACCTCTAAATTCAGAATATCAGAAATTTTACTGACCAAATTGGCTTAGTTGGGGTGATATAGGCATTTTATTAATACTATCTCGGGTGCCACATTCAAGGCTACCGTCTGCTCAAGTTTGCCCAGTAACATCTAAATTTTTTGTATCAGTCGATTTATCTGGACCTCCTTATTCAAAAAACATATATTTTGCTAGGCAATTCTCCTTACATGAGAAAATATCGCTATTTTCCCAATGCTATGCGGTTTCCCATCTTCGGTCCTACCGTAATCTCTGTTCATATACTATTGATCACTGTAGATAAATATATTTGTCACACTACGGCTGAGGGGGTAACCATCTTCAAGATACCCGTACTGTCAAGCTTGCCCCACAACAACTGAATGCCTTTGCACCATTCAACTGCTCAGAATGTCTAAGTTCAGAATATCATATATTTCCCCGAAAAATTATGATTACATGAGGAGGTATAGCCATATACTCAATGCTATACAATTTGCGATATCCGAGCCTACCGTACCCTCAAGTTTGCCAGATAATATATGAATTTTTTTGCATCAGTCTATCCAACTGGATCTCTTCATTCAGAAAAAT